GGCTCCAGGAGGGAGCTGGAGGGCCGGGCGGCTGGGGCCGCGTCACCCACTCGTTCAGCGCACGTTTACGGAGCGGTCGCCGCGTGGCGGGCACTGCACTGGGACAGATGGAGTGGCCGCCTGGATGGAGCTCGTAGTGAAGAGAAACAGACAGTAACCAAAGAATCAGATACATGTGAAGCTACGGTGGTGATCAGTGCAGGGGGAAAAGGCTCACAGTTCCGCGAGGGTGTATAATAGGAGTATTGGGCTTAACGTGAGGATTGAGCCTTCATATTTTTGTCTTTATCCTAGAAAGTCATTGAAATGTTTAAGAACAACTTGGCATGCTCAGATTTTCATTTTGGAGAGTGATTCCCGTTGCTACGCGGAGAACAAATGAGAGCCGAAATAGAGGGCGCAGCTAGGGTTAGACAGCGAGGGCGGGAGCAGAGTGCAGGGATTCGGGGCTTATTGAGGAGATGAAGTCACCGGGTTTGGAGGTACTTTGGTTGTAAGAAGGAGTCAGCACTGTTGGGGCCCTAGATTTTTTTTCTTTCTTCAATGGGCTAGGAGACACTGGAAAAGGGCTCACACGAGGAGACGGTGAATTTTGAGGTGTCCTGTGATGTACAAGCTGAACCATGGCTGTCCCAGGAATAACTGTAATTCCATGTGACTTCTATGATAGCGGAAGTGCGGGATCCTGTGGGAGCACCAAGAATTGGTAACTGATAGGGACCAGAGGGCTCCCTAGAGGAGGTGCTGCTCAGAAGGTAAAAATGCTTAATAGGTTATTGCAGAGCTTGCTTTGGGTTTTCCGAAGTTTTGAGAGTGACTTTCTGACCTGGTCGGGAAGACTTTAGAGATGTGCCAGGATTTGAAGCGTGAGAAAAATTCAGACCCAGGATGGCTAGGGTGGGACTATTAGGAGAACTAACGACCCCAGGGAATGGCAGAGGGAGAGCGTGATCAGGCTGACAGTTGGGAAGGTTTCTGTTAGGGAAACTTGGAGAAGTCTCTAGGAAGAGAGCTGAGGGAAGTGTGGAAGGCTGTGGCTCCACGCAGTGGAGTTCTCTTCATGTTTTTGAGGAAAGAACATTGTTGGCTTTTTGTTGGATGGATAGGAAGAAGATCCGGCATTAGAAGAAATGTAAGCGTGTTCTCTATTTTGTGTCCGTATCACAGGACTCTCAGTGGCTCAGCCTTGCAGCTGTCCTCCATTCTTCCTTCTCCCCCATTTCCCATGCTACTTCTCCACTTCAGATTGTGTTTCGGTCCTCAGAATTCTAAACTTCCCATCTGTTTCTCTCTTCCCCATCTTCATTTGACATTGCCCTTTACGCTGATAGTTTTCTCCAGATCATCTTGCACTCTGTTACTGAAAGGATCTTTCTAAAACAGATATGCTTATGTCTCTACCCAGCTTGAAAATGTTCGGTGATGCGGCCAGTGAAAGCACACCAG